TTTCAACACTACTTTGAAGGGCAACTACGAGACCATGCGCGTTTGGCGCTCCATGCTATTGCCCACCAACCCAACGCACGTGTTAATCTTAGCCATAGTTGGGTTGCTCCGGATGGTGTCCGATCACCATTGGGTAGGTGACCGCTGCATGCACCACAGTTTAGGTGTTTGCACCAATGACTCACAATGTATTCAGACGATAGCTGATCCAACTGGGCGTCCCGAAACACCACGAACATATGCCTACAGACCAGGCCAATTCTTCGGAACAAGTTGCAGTTGCATGTTGCACCAATGGCTCACAATGTATTCAGACGGTAGCTGATCCAACTGGGCGTCCCGAAACACCACGAACATATGCCTACAGACCAGGCCAATTCTTCGGAACAAGTTGCAGTTGCATGTTGCACCAAGGCCGCCAGGCTCGTAGTGCACGGTCGAAATATCAATACACCGAAAAACCAATACACTGCTTTAGTATATATTTAAGGAAAACAAATATCAACAGGGATAGGATACAGTTAAAGTGCAAACACTTAGTAGGAATGGGTACAGAGCATATGATGCATCAAGGCCTCCTGGCTCGTGGTGCACCCATCGATGACATCGTAATGAGTGTGCCCCTCGGCATACTGTACCTGCACAGTAGAAGGGAATGCATGATAATCATGATAATGTTGGCTTTGAATAACAAACCACATGCTTGTTTCTGTCTATATATGTACTTCCGAATGGAGTTCAAGATTCACAGTCATTTACTAATATCAACAACTTAAATAGGCCAGCAGGAGCAGAAAAAAAATTTGAACAACACAAGATAAACCCAACAACTCTACGAATAACATTAAGGAAATTTCATGCTCAAACACAGATGATTAAAGAACTCAATCTCCTTAACAAATTCCATTATTTTACCATCGATGGGAAGCTATGAACACAGAATAGCACAACGATGATTGAAAAAAGAATTGATGGAAAATTGTTTATTTAAAAGATGAGTAACACACAAATATATAGTCATCCTCAACTGGTATTCAATCGTACGACGATAAAACTCATTACAACAACGTATATCATATTCACTTCCCATACCTGTTTGTTCCATAGGTTGCATCGAACGAAATAGTATCGCCGTAGCAAGTGAATGCCCACCTACCGATGGGATCAGCCCAGAACAGCCGCGCTAGTCGGTCTTGTTCGTCGGTCGGTGTTAAACCCACCGTAGCGTCGGACAGCCGTGATCCGAGGTTAGTACGCACCGAACCTGTTCTTTCACCGGTTTCGGATTCGCTCATCGTCACCCTTCGTAGTTCCGGACACACTTGGTCTGCGGATGAGACATCAGAACCGTGAACAACGCAACAAAATAGCGGTGTATGCACTCTCAAACTCTTTTCAAACGCTGTACGAGCCGAGGTTAGTACGCACCGAACCTGTTCTTTCACCAGTTTCGGATTCGCTCATCGTCACCCTTCGTAGTTCCGGACACACTTGGTCTGCGGATGAGACATCAGAACCGTGAACAACGCAACAAAATAGCGGTGTATGCACTCTCAAACTCTTTTCAAACGCTGTACGAGGTAAGTTATGTAAGGGGAATGTGTATCCCATGTTGCATGTTGCAGAATAGTCTTGTGCGCCACCGTATTTGGGCTCTACGATCCAATACATCAACGCACCATATTCATCCACTAGTTCACACGTTAATAATAGTTTGCACCTGAAAAATAGCATATATATATATTGGAGGTGCGAGGAATCGAACCCCGTGCTTCTCGCATGCGAAGCGAGCGCTCTACCATATGAGCTACACCCCCATAAATGTAAGTATGAGCTGAAATTATACTAGTATGTTTGTCAATTGGAATCAAAATCACTTTTAAATAGATAAAGTGAATTAATTCGATTTAATGTAGACAAAACAAACCACCGGGAGGTCTGGGGAGTCAAACCCTGTGCATGCGCTCTACCATGTGAGCTACAGCCCCATTAATGTGGGGGCTGGGAGCTCTACCATGTGAGCTACAGCCCCATTAATGTGGGGCCTGGCGGCTCTACCATGTGAGCTACAACCCAATTAATGTGGGGGTTGGCGGCTCTATCATGTGAGCTACACCCCCATTAATGTGGGTATACTAGTCTGTTTGCGAGCTACACCCCCATTAATGTGGGTATGAGTTGAACCCATTAATGTGGGTATGAGTTGAACCGCTGAACTTATACTAGTATGTTCGTCAATTGGAGTGTTACTATGGTCGGTACATCGTTGCACAATCGGAGTGTTACTATGGTCGGTACGTCGTTACACATTGAAAACCACCCCTATTAATGTGGGTATACCATGTGAGCTACAACCCCAATAATGTGGGGGCTGGCTGCTCTACCATGTGAGCAACACCCCTATTAATGTGAGTATACTAGTACGTTTGTGAGCTACACGGTATGTGGGTATACTAGTATGTTTGTCGATTGGAGTGCTACTATGGTCGGTACGTCGTTGCATATTGAAAACCACCTCTTATACTAGTATGTTTGTGAGCTACACACCCATTAATATGGGTATGTGCTGAACAGTTGAACTTATACTAGTATGTTTGTCAATTGGAGTGTTACTATGGTCGATTTAACTAGGTTTGACGTCGTTGCACATTGATTGGTTATGAACCGGATTGGAGGTGCGGGGAATCGAACCACGTGCCTCTCGCATGCGAAGCGAGCGCCCCTACCATCTGAGCTACGTCCCCGACTACAATCTCAGTCATTATATATATATATATATATATATATATATATATATATATATATATATATATATATATATATATATATATATATATATATATATATATATATATATATATATATATATATATATATATGTGTATATATATATATATGTGTATATATATATATATATACACATATATATATATATACACATATATATATATACACATATATATATATATATACACACACACACATATATATATATATATATATATATATATGTATATGTATATATATATATATATATATATATATATATATATATATATGTGTGTGTATATATATATATTCAACATCACATTAAAACAAACAACCTGGAGGTGCGGGGAATCGAACCCCGTGCCTCTCGCATGCGAAGCGAGCTCTCTACCATATGAGCTACACCCCCATAAATTTAGGTATGAGCTTAAATTAGACAAGTGCGTTTGTCAATTGGAATCAAAATCACTTTTAAATCGATAAATTGAATTAATTCGATTTAATATCGACAAAACCAACCACCTGGAGGTCTGGGGAATCAAACCCCGTGCCTGCGCTCTACCATGTGAGCTACAGCCCCATTAATGTGGGGCCTGGCGACTCTACCATGTGCGCTACAGCCCAATTAATGTGGGGGTTGGCGGCTCTATCATGTGAGCTACACCCCCATTAATGTGGGTATACTAGTATGTTTGTGAGCTACACCCCAATTAATGTGGGTATGAGTTGAACCGCTGAACTTATACTAGTATGTTTGTCAATTGGAGTGATACTATGGTCGGTACGTCGTTGCACATTGAAAACCACCCCTATTAATGTGGGTATACCATGTGAGCTATAGCCCCATTAATGTGGGGGCTGGCTGCTCTACCATGTGAGCTACACCCCTATTAATGTGGGTATACTAGTATGTTTGTGAGCTACACCCCCATTAATGTGGGTATGAGTTGAACCGCTGAACTTATACTAGTATGTTTGTCAATTGGAGTGCTACTATGGTCGGTAGATCGTTGCATATTGAAAAGCACCGCTATTAATGTGGGTATACTAGTATGTTTGTGAGCTACACCCCCATTAATGTGGGAATGTGCTGAACAGCTAAACTTATACTAGTATGTTTGCTAATTGGAGTGTTACTATGGTCGATGTTATGAACCCGATTGGAGGTGCGGGGAATCGAACCCCGTGTCTCTCACATGCGAAGCGAACGCTCTACCATATGAGCTACAATAATTGGATTAAATGTCGACAAGAGATCTAGGGAATCAAACCCCGTGCTTGAGCTTATACTAATATGTTTGTCAATTGGAGTGTAACTATGGCCGGTCTGACTAGGTTTAACGTCGTTGCACAAACGATTAGTTATGAATGATTAGAGATGCAACGTATCGATCCCCGTACCTCTCGCATGTTAAGCGAGCGCTCTACCATCTGAGCTACGTCCCCGACTGCAATCACATTCATTGTATATATATATATATATATATATATATATGTATGTTGAATATATATATATATATATATATATATATATATATATATATATATATATATATATATATATATATTCAACATCATATTTAAACAAACAACCTGGAGGTGCGAGGGATCGAACCCCGTGCCTCTCGCATGCTTAGCGAGAGCGACGAACTTATACTAGTATGTTTGTCAATTGGAGTGTTACTATGGCCGGTCTGACTAGGTTTAACGTTGTTGCACATTGAAAACCATTGCTTATGAATGATTGTAGATGCAGGGTATCGATCCCCGTACCTCTTGCATGCTAAGCGAGCGCTCTACCATCTGAGCTACGTCCCCGACTGCAATCTTATTCATTGTATATATATATATATATATATATATATATATATATATATATATATATATATATATATATATATATATATATATATATATATATATATATATATATAGGCTATTTTTCATGTGCAAACCATTATTAATGTGTGAACTTGCGGATCAATCAGGTGCGTCGATGTATTGGATCGGATGGCCAAATATTTGCTCCTCGCAACAGACGCATGCACTATGCACCATGGGATCCCTGCCAGCTGTATATTACTTCAAGTATGCATCTTATTTGAATAGAATTCAAATCACGTAACTTCCCTCCCATCTTAATTGAATAGGATTCCAACACGTATTCCTTGGCTTGCTTACGCTTGTCGACTTTGATCCGTAACGAACCTGCGACGTACCGACGAAGGGTGATGGCATGCGAACCGGACGAGGGTGGCTGTGCAATGGAGTTACCGCCACCCGACGACCACAATTTGAACCCCGCCATGGATGCTTTAGAGCTGCCGGCAGTGGGGCGTGTATTTAGAACACTAAACGAGGGTATCCAATGCTACACCAACTACGCGCGGACCATCGGGTTTGACGTTCGATGTAGCTCCGTGAAGCATGACCGAGACGAAGAAGTGTACTTGCGATATTTGGTGTGCAGCCGGTAAGGGTTCAGAGCTGGTGGTAGGATACCCCGCGACCATGATCGGTGTGTGAATGCTAGAGATAAACCGGAGCGCTGCCGCCGACTTTCTAACAGAGTTAATTGCGGAGCGAGGATCGGCTTTAAAAAAAAAGGCTCTGGGAGTACATCGTTACCGTTTTTGTCGAGGAACACACCCATAAATTGTGCTCAGATTCGTCTAAAGTTTTTATGCGAATTAACCGACGTCTCAATGTGGTCCACCAGGCTTTTTTAGGTAATTGTGTTAAGGCCAACATTGGTTCTTCAACGGGGCTGCGGTTTTGCAAGGAAGCCACCGGATTGTATGCAAATGTCGGCGTAACGGACGTGGAATTCCACAATTTTAAGCGAGATGTCCAAACGTACGTTAATGTAGCTGATGGGGAGATGATTATCGCCACCTTCAAAGCCAAGCAAGAAATGTGCAGTGAATTTTTTTATGAATACCATATGGATGAGGAAAACCGGCTATCGCGTCTATTCTGGGCTGATCCCCTCAGTAGGCGGACATTTTCTTGCTACGGCGATAATATTTCCTTCGATGCCGCCTACGAAACAAACAGGTATGAGATTGCACTTTAATTACTGTGGATGTTTAGAATGAACCCCTGCACAATGTGTGTACTGGTAGTTGCATGTGCATGTCACGCCCACCCAAATGCCCTTTGAGCATCACATTTTTGTTGCTGAATTACTCCATGTCTGAATTACTTGCAAAATCTCATTCAAATGATATAATCCTATTAATTATGCTTTGAATTTTGCTAAGTTACTGTATCGAACATGTGTGTGTATTTTGTTTTTTTTTTTTGGAGAATTTTTATATTGTTAATGACTATGATGCATGCACAAACAAATATCATGATGGTAGGTGGGTATGTATATATCTGCATATATATTATTTTTGAATAGAGGTATTTCTTTTCTAATTAAATAATATTTATTTTTCACCTTAACTATTATTTATTGCTTCTATTTTGATTTTGATGTTCTGGTAGGCCCTCGACTAACTTCATACTAAATAGCCCTTTGATGCCTAATTATTTTGTATTGAACGTACACGAGTAATTTTGGAACTAATGCATTCCTTCTTATTTCACAGGTACAGTATGGTGTTTGTGCCGTTTACGGGTGTGGACAATCACAAACGATGCATCACTTTTGGGGGCGGTTTGCTCACTAAGGAAGACGTTGACTCATACAGCTGGCTGTTGGAGAAATTTATAGCTGCAATGGGCAAGAGCCCATTATGTGTTGTGATGGACCAAGACCCAGCAATGCGAATTGCTATCCAACAAGTATTGCCAAATTGCCGCCATCGCTACTGTATGTGGCACATTATGACAAAGGTTTATGAAAAGCTAGGCAATGAGTTTCGCAAAAAACTAAACGCTATCGTCTGGAACGAAAGAATCTGCATTGATGAGTTTGAGGCGCAATGGCACCTATTAATGGATGAGTACAAGCTAACAAACCATCGGTGGTTTAGCAAAATATTTGGTGAAAGGGAGAATTGGATCCCGGCTTACTTTTTTGATTTGCCCATGAGTGGGCTGCTAAGAACCACATCGCGGTCAGAAGCAGAAAACGGTGTATACGGTAAATTCACACGCCCCCATTCCAGTTTGGTAGAGTTCTACATGCAATTCGAGAGCGCGCTGGGAACGCAGCGCTATCGACAAGATAAATTAAACACAGAGTGCGAGGGTTACCTGCCTGAGTTTAAAACGCCATTAGCACTCGAGCGTAATATTGCACGAGAATTCACGATCACTATTTTTTATGAGCTACAGAAAGAAATAGAAGCAGCTTGTTTTTATTGTTCTGTGATCGGTGTACGCCAAGACGGGGATAACACCCATTACGACATTGCAAATGAGGGCAACATTATTGCGACCGTGCACTACAAGGTTGGTGGTCTTGGAGCATCATGCAGCTGCATCTTGTTCCGAAGAATGGGCTTGGTCTGTCGGCATATGTTTGTGGTTTTTCGGGGTGCATAGATGGAACAGTTACCGGCTGAATACATTGTTAGCCGATGATGCAAACATCTTACTTGCGGCGCATGCAAAGGAGTACCGTCAAATGGTGATAAGCCAACCCCTGTAGCAACACAACTGTGGATTGAGATAAACACGTGCGTTGGACTGGTAGGCAACAGCCTAGAGCGGCAAACGCGAATGGTCTCGATACTGAAGGACCTTACCGCAGAATTCAGTAGTGACGGACTATCTATGAACCCTGTTAAGGGTAACCGTGCTGCGATACGGGCATTATGCGGTGTTGAGCCGCAAGAATCAATAACAATCAAGCCCCCCGCCCAAGAGAAGAACAAAGGCACTGGAAAGCGTATAAAAAGCCACAGGGAGATAGCCATCGACAAAAAATGCCAAAATCGGTCGAAAGTGCGGGATCTGTGGTAAATATGCTCACCATAACGCCCGTAGTTGCCCGTCAAAGTAACTTGCTAAGAATTCTGTATCCTATTTAAATTGGTTTGTTTTACTCCCTTTTTTTATTCAGTACGATTCGTTGGCCTGTACCCAGGATTATATAGTCAGTTTGTAATTCATTTAGTGCATTCCAATAACATCAGTTTTTTAATCACCTATTACTGTTAGTAGCATTTTTTGCACTGCTTATACACATACGCTGGAGTGCCCATGCATACAGTGTGAGATCTAAATATAAGAGTATAATCTACGAGAAACTTAACTCGTAGTAGCGGAAGCGGAAACACTGTAGATCTCCAGCCATGGTTGATATCCTGTTGTATTGCCTCTTGAACAGTAGATCTGCAGAATAAGGTTAGCCGTTTTGTCCCATACTTGACTCAGAACCCTAGATGGTGTACTGGTATTTTCTGAGCAGTATGAGTACCATAACTTAAGTGCTATATAATGAATGTGTCATGTATCCCATCAATACAGGGTTTATATAGGCATATGGGTGGAATACAGACTTAACCTAATGTCCAGTCCAACCGATTACTTAATGGGCCTAGTCCACTTGCACCACATAAGTAAGGCCCATATGGGAAAGTCTTACAGTCTCCCACTTGGTGCAAGTACTAGCACAATTCTCATCAAAGAACAAAACACACGAACCATAGTAATATGTCCTCTACTGAATAAGTGAGTTATATCTCCTATGATCACATGCATTTTGATTCCCCAACTTGAATCCTTTATGAACAAACCCTATGTTTATTCCTGGTACCTTAAGGGATGTTTCTCAAAATAAAATATATATGCGCAACTTAAGAGAGAAAACCATCCAAATTGTACAAAAGAGTACACTATATGATCTCTAAGATCCTTAAAAGCATGCCTTAGGTAGAGATCTCTTAATGTTAGCATAATGCTAACTATATTCCATGACTTCTTTATAAGTTAACATAAGTACTACCTCTAACGGCTAAAAGTTTGGAGTTGACACGTCTGTCACTCTCACTCATCAAAATAGCCAAAAGATAGTCAAGTCACAGAAGCATTCCAATAACTTAGACAATAAACAAAAACTCTAAGTCCATAAATTTGAAATGTTAAACATACATCATAAATTTCCAAATAATCTCAATGTCCACCTTAAAATGAACTGAACATTATGAGTCTTACTTTTATGTTTATCAAAATTTTCTTGAGCCTTACAAACCAAAATGGCCCAGGATCAATTTCGAAGAAACTAAAGACTCTACTAAATGCTGAAGAGTTTATCACTTAACAGTGCACCACAAGTTATATGTTTTGTTCTAATAAACTCCTCAATATTGTTACAACATTTTCATAAATATGTTGCTAAACCAATATGAATTTATATGAACAAATACAATATTAATACTTATGGAATCTTTTGGACTTATTGTTTGACATACAATCCAATTTAGGATGTATGAAGCCTATTACATCCAAAATCTTTAATGGAGTATCTTAATGATCTTTTTCTAAGTGATCACTCCCACTGATTATGGAGTATCTTAATGATCCTCTTTTTTTTTTTTTAAATGATCACTCCCACTGATTAAGATATTCTTTAGCAAAATTAATGATATACGTACTCATAATTGATTTGACCAACTAATTAATGAAGATATAATTCCCCACCATTAGTTGGGCATACTAAATAATCAATATATGATTCCAATTATAGTCCAACTAAAGGAATAACTAATGAGGACATGACTCCCCACCGTAGTTGGACATACTATAATAAAATACACTGTCCAAAACCAATTGAAATTTGGCTCAAAAGGTACATTTTATTCTTGGAATCCAAAGAGGTATATTATATCACATAACTTACTATAGTTGATCCAAATAACCAAGTAAGCTTCATGAAACAATTAATAAAAGGGGCTAAATTTTGGGAAGTGACTGAATACATGTTTTGCCAATGCAAACCATGAAACTTAGAATTATAATTGAACTAAATTTATAAATTCTAAGAAATTGTGATAAAATTATTATTTAGTGGGTTGTGGGATTTATTGACATAAAACTTGCATGTAGGCTAAAGTTTTAATTCTATTAAATCCAACTAAACCCTTGATACTATTTTATCTCAATTACTAAATAGACAGAAGAATCTAGTGACATAAAACTTGCCTGTGGGCTAAAGTTTTACTCAATTAGATCCAACCGAAATTTTAAATTTTATGATGAAACAATTATCAAATAAGTTGAAGAATCAAGTGACATAAAACTTGCATGTAGGCTAAAGTTTTACTCAATAAGATTCATTACAACTATTATGATAAAAAAAAAAAAAAAAAAACTTAAGAAATCATGTTCCTTTCCTTAATCCCTGTGGGTAAATTAAGAAATATGATTTCAAATTTACATCATAAAATTAAACTTTATGATAGAGATGAGAATTATTTACAAATAACCATAAAGTAAATAAAATTGATTTATTTCTATCATCACTGATAAAACTACTAAACTACATTCCGATACATAATTGCATGTGGGCTAAATTATGATCGTAGTCCAGTATTTCATCCTGATTAACTATACAAATATAACGAAATTGCATGTGGGTTAAATTCCATCATATTACATACAATTAATCACAAATGATATGTCCACAACTGTATGTGATCAAGATAAACTGCTTAATATATAATTTTAACTGATTAAGGATGTTGTGGCTACTCCCCAACTCATTAAAATTATAAGATCACTAGACAATTATCATTGCCATCTTTATGTAATTTAAACCTTAGACAATTTTAGTATATTAAAGATGCTGTGGCTACTCTTTAATTAATCTAAAATTGTAATCACTTGGCAAAAGGGAAATTTAAAGCCTAACAAACAAATTAAACCAACACATGATAGACAATTATTAGGTATACTCCCAAGAAAGTTGGTCGAGACGAAGCTCGGTTAAATACCAACTCCTTAGACAGAGTAGCGTCGCAAGGGGACTAGTAGCAACAAGACTTTTAAGCCAGGGCCATAGAACTAGTATTCCTCCCCAAGAAACTTCCCTAAGTCATGTGTTCTCATGTTTGAAGTAAAATCGTTTGGGAGATCTAAAGATTGTAGATTCACATATGGATAAGGCTTTAAATTGATGAACTAAATTAACGGGCTAAACGTGCTTAAATTCAGGCACTACCGCAACTAAAGTTTATGCACAAGTCCAACTTAAATAGGAAGTAATATAAGTCCATCCTAAATTTATGCAATTGCTAAAGGCATAATAAAAAAAAATTGCATAATTTAAAACAAAATATTATGCTTAGGACAAATATGCATAAAAATAAACATTAAACTCATATATTCCAGACAAATTGCATAACCTAAAGCAATTTACAATATGAGATTTCAATAATTTGAAATTTTAAACTGTAAACCCATGACAAAAAGTTTTAATGCATAAAGATCAAATTTATGAGAAATAACTGAATTCACAAATTATAACAATAACAAACCAAAAGTATATGTTATCATTTGTAAATCAAAATCTCACAAAACCTAATTTTATAATTAAACTTAATATTATGCGCTTAATATGATCAAATGCATAAAACAACAGTCCAAAGAGTATGAATCATACATAACCAAATATGGGCAATAACATTAATCATAATTCAAAGACTAAATGAATTATGAAATAAATATACAGTAATGGCAATAGTCAGTTGCCTAAAAAAAATTTCTTATCTGAAGCATTGCCACATAAACATAATTGGAAACAAATCAGGATTCATAAATAAACCATAATAATAATGTTATCATTAAAATATTAATGGTAATAAATAACCTTATAATCACCATTAATATTTGGTAATAACAACCAAAGTATGGTAATATACCTTCTTTAATGTTTCCATTTTTATTAAGAAAATAAAATATGGCAATTTCAAAATATAGCAGTCAAACTATAACTGTAGCACTAATTATCAAGAAAAAATTAATGATAAAAACTTAATGACTAACCTTAATGATGCAAACCGCATCTTCCATAGTGCTAAAATTCTCCCATCTTCACCGTCAGTAACCTCAATGCAACGTCACGTAACAATAATCACCAAATAGGTAATCTTTCCAAACATAATAGATTACCAAGCAATAATAATTATTATGAAAGGTAATAAACGAGGTTAGCCCCTAAACTTAACAGTTATTAATATTGCCAATTTTAATAACTTAATAAATGACAAAACTGTAATTAAGGGGACATCTAATATTAATCTCATATTACCACATAATAATTAATCAAGACTATAATGTCTTTTAGGGAGACTAAAGTTATGGTAATAATCAAATTACCATTGTTAAGGCAATATACCAACTATATTGCTTACTATATTATTAAAAGAATTAATATTATTATTAAGGCCCTGAAAACTATTGATGGATTAAAAAAATATAATCAACTTAAATCAATAGTTGTAACTCTTAATGGCCAAAATAACAATTATAATCTTTAAATTCTTAATGGCTCATAAATAGACCCAAGATAATAATTATAGCACTTAATCACTCAAATTAGA